TATTTTCTAATTTTTATGTGTTTGTATCCTGCAATTCTTTGGTGCATAACTCCATATCCAGCTAACTCCAGTGTTAGCTGCTGCTCTCCCATTTTGGGCAGACACAATTCCTCTCCAGGCTTAGCAATCAAGGACACCTCACTGCATCAAAACCTTGAAAAATGTAAACAAAAGTGAGATGGGGGAGCAAACTTGGAGTAAATTACTTTAATACTGTAATTGGAAGATTAACCCCCAATATGCAAATGGACCAAACTAACAGAAGTTTGAAAACCTGTGATGCATTGTCCATTTTTGGGTGCAGCCCCTGGGGAGCTTTGTCTGCCCAAAATGTACCTGAAGACCCTTCAATAAATAAAACTGCTTTTATTCCCTTCATTTTGTCTGGCCTCTGTTTTTAGGTAGCCCAAAAAGGCATCCGTGGAAGAGGTTCTGCAGTCATTTCTGTGAGCCAGAGACAAGTTTGAGAAGATGATCCATGTTTACCCCTGACAGAATTTTCTACCAAAAAAACTTAGAAACCAAGACACAGAAACCATCCAAGAAAGAAAGAAGGAGAAATAATAAACCTGTAACCATGAGCACTTGAAGCGACCAATGAATAAAACGCGAACTTATGGCTTTTGTACAAACGCGCAAAAACCACGCGTGCTGGAACAAAACCAGGTGTGACTGCTGCTGCAAGCAGCGTTGCTGTGACCGTGCCGAGGCCGGCAGCAGCTGCTCACCGGGCTCTTGTCCTCCTTGCTCAGCGAGGTCCGTCCCCAGAGCGCGTTGGCGCCGTCCACGGCCACCAGGAGCCGGCAGGAGCCGCGCTGGCTCTGCAGCTTCAGCTCCCGCAGCAGCACCCCCACGGCGTCGCTGGCGCTCCTGACCCGAGCCAGGCCCTGCAGGGAGCACAGCCACAGCTCAGCCTGCCCCAGTCCTGCCAGGAGAGGTTCACCCGGGCTGGGAGCCGTGTGTCAGAGCGGGGCAGTCATCTGCTGGTCATTATTGAAATTAACAGTTAAAACCAGGGGGGGCAGTCATCTGCTGGTCATTATTGAAATTAACGCTGTTAAAAACA